TGTTACGAGCTTCCACGCGTCGACCCGCACTTCGATGATGTTGTTGAGCAGTGCGAGCAATGGCGCAAGTGGAAATGATGCCACGAAGAGAGTGACAAACCCGAATTGGATAACTGGGGTATATTTTGAGAATGGGTAGGGGGGCAAGGATAGGATAATGAGTGAAACAGGATAGAGACACACACTCTTAATGCTGTTATGTTGTGATTACTTTAAGCAAACAAAACATGTTTTCAATGCATTGAATGTGTTTTAGTCAAAGGAGACCCCAAAATATGATTACATTTTCGTATCATTTGTTCACAAAATTATCGTGTCCATTACATTGGCCACTGAGATGCGACCAGCCACTGCCATCTTTAATGCTCAGCTCTGGTTCACCTGGGTTTCTTTTGCACCATTTTCCACCACTAGGTGGCTATAATAACTAGATCACATCCTGTAGTGAGGACTCCATTAACCGTACCACACATTTTTAGGCATATGCACTGTGGCTGAAATGCCAACAAATCACAGCAGTTAACCACAGTGGACATGATGCACAAGAGTTTTAAATAAATAGTATGGGGGAGAAACGTCAACCCAAGCTGACCAATGTAGTTGCATTGGTTAGCAGACAAGAGGAGCAAATATGTGCTTCTATTGTTTCTAAAACTTAACTCCGTACATATGCACATACGCGCATTCTCAAAGACAATTGTGTTACAGTGTATCCATAGATTGGTGCCTATGGCCAAATCACCCAGTATGCGCCAAATTTAAACAGATCCCAGAAGTTATGGAGAGCTGAGCCTGGAAATTGGTTGGATGGGTGACCATGCAATAGTTATTGTGGGGTTGTGAGCAGCAGAGGACAGTGCAGCAAATTACATTGTTGTATTGTACATCTAAGCTCTTACATCTGTGCTCCCTGCCTTCAACAACCCGAAGTGTGGGTAATTTCCCTCCCACAACAATGTCCGACAGATACACAGGGGCCGTACACACGTGCCTATAATGTCAAATGATACCCAATTGTGTGTGTTTTTTAATAATAAAGTAAAACGCGTTGACTCCGTAGTGTGATCCTCTGAGCTCATTGTACCCATCTCGAGGTATTCATCAAAGAGTCCAAGTGGGCTCTGGGGCTGTAGGTCCATGTCTTGCTCCCAGCGCGTGTAGACAGCCTCAGGCCTTAGCTTGGCCCGACGCTGGGCCCACCAATTGCTGAACCATCTGGGGAATTGTGGAGGGAGGTACGCATGTGCAGACACAGAGACACCCTTACACGTGCATACCCATTTGTTCATCAACTCTAGGTTGGCTATTTCATAGCTTTCCACTGCGTTTTCAGGTTGTATCATGTGAACATCCCAAGCACGTGGAGCGAAACGTCAAGACATGCCAAACAATATGCGGTATGACACAAAACATGTCAGAGAGCTGTACAAAACAACTGCTAAAACCTAAGTAGTAGCTGTTTTTCATTTAGCTCGTTGTCAATCCACTACACTCTTTCAGTCATGGGAGTTGCTTGTCTAATATTATGAAACTATGTACGAAGCGTCTGATCGGAATATCGCATGATACTAACGAGGTGAACTTTGTCCAGTTGACTGGTGTTCACTGCTTAACCAGTGCACACTGTTAACAAGCTGTTGACCCGAGTTTTCGCTGAATGCGTTTTCACACAACACATTTTCATTGAAACATGGTTCTTATATTTGGGAAAACTTTTCACACAACGTGGAACGTGTCCATTATAATGTGGAATGCACACTGTTAAAACGCCGAACGCGGCCATTATAATGCGTTCCTGAGCAGTCGACGATGAACGACTGTCTTGAGTTGCGCAGCTGAGCAGTTTGATAAAGTATGCCGAATGATACAGTAACACGGCAGCCTAGCCTGAGTTATTTATCCCACCATGGGATGACTGCAGGTTGATTTTACTGTGCAAATGTGATTAACTCGGTAATTCCTTGCTTTGCGCGTTTTTACTTCACGCAGAAATTTTCAGAAACGCATCTACCGCGTTACACGAGGAAACGCCGTAATCAGATTTCACAGCTTTCATGTGTTCATGCGATACTTACGGGATGATGACCTCCTGAAAATTGCCAACCATCTGCTTCACTACCATGATGACAGTGAGTTGAGAAGTCAGTTCAAAGAGACAGCCGTTTGGGGGACACTGGAGGGGAGATGGGGTGGAGAATAGATTCAGGTTAAACACTGAAGATATGAAATTTTGGGTAATACATATATGGATACCACACATCATTTCTAATGATCCTCTCACATTCTTCTCTTCAGTCAACTGCACACTGCAAAAGTGACGGCTCCATATGTAAGAGGGGACAGTGATTAAGAATATCAATATTCTCCAGATTATAAGAAACACTTTCCCCCTCCCCCTCATGTATTTTAAATAAAGAAAATGGTGGCGCATCTGATAATGTTTTGTTTGTTGTCCTCCCCCCACACATCCGATGCAGGCTGTGTACGGTGCAAAATAAGTTCAACACACAACATGCATACTGCAGTTGGTGTTTAGTATCAGGTGAGTTTAATTCCAGAGCATCGTCTAGTAAACATAATAATCGTAAAACATGAAATTAAGTTGGTAGAAAACACAGAGGCACTTAAATAATAATCTGTATTCTTTATCCTTTATGTGTATTGTTTTTGAGAGGATATCAATCAATGAATCGCCCTCGTGACGATTTTCTACAAATCTGCAGCAGGAGAAGTAGGCACCTTAATATAACACCAAATATACTCATTATAATCATCTCATGTGTCAACAAGTCTGCCTTCAAACAGAAACATGAGCAACAGGTGCACATTTTGGGCAATGGACTTTCTTCCGAGCATAGAGTGACTGCAAATACTCAGGGTGACTCTGAATGGCAATTATGTAAATGTTAAACTACGTGTCATTAACACTGTCTTAATGACATTGATTTAACGTGTGCACAACGCAATGCTGCTTAATTCCTTACTCCAGAATTCGTTCTTGATATCATATTACGAGGCCGTTCTCTAACACAACGTGCTCCACTGCGCCACAGTGAATCATAGGTAGTGGCTAAACATATCCTTGAGGGGGGCTGAAATACTGTACTTTTTTAAGGATGATCAAACATATAATTTTAAATAAATGGCGTTTGATAAATACGGTATATAATTGAAAATGTCCAATGAGAGACCACAAGGGTACTACTTGCAAAATATGTGATAAACTAACACCCTCAAGGTAACTGGGCTACCAATTGCATCAGTCTAACACGTGTTCTGCTCGTGGTGACCTCGTGCTCTCTCAAGTCTGGTTTCGAAAACTTTTTTACTCCGGAGACTGTGTTAATGCTAGAGCTGGTGACCAGGTGTGAAGACAATGAGGCCTTTTAGAGTTCCAAAAGAAAGAGTCCTTATTTCGACATTTCACCAACAGCACGGTGTGAAGACAATTGTTGGGAAAAATATCAACTACAAAAGTAAAACATAAAGATGTTGTACAAACAGCATAGAAAACACAGGGCCAACCCCTCAGATCTACACACCTCCTCGATTCTCCATTTTCCAAAGTAAGTGTAGCTTCCGGGGAAGCCGATGAATTTCCCCTTGAACGTCAGCCGATACTCATATTCTCCTTGCGTCTTGGGCATCTCTGTGGGTGTGATACAAAGGCAAACATGGACACAAACATCAAACAGGGCAATCAGTTTTGATGTTACTTACATAGTTTCTGGCACACAGGCTACGAACAGCCACTGATAATGATGCCGCATTGAGGAATAGCAACATTTCACAATGTAACGTGCTTTGATATCCATTAAAATGAATTTGAAGATCGAAAGTTAATTTCAAAGATGTTGCTGGGGAATGAGTGACAGTGCACAAGTTCATATTCTTAGTTAAATTTCGTCTCCCCCCTCCTCTTTTCAGAATATAGATGGACTAGTCCTAAATAAACTGCCAAATCGTTGCGCGTGGCGCTAACGTTTTTAATAAATAAATAAATGCGCCGTTTACAAATAAATTTATGCAAACCAACACACCTGAAGATGACCGTTTGAGTTATGGTCGAAACTTCGTAAAGATTTTTTTATTGTTTTATATATAATTTGTTATTTTGTTGTTTCCCTTCAACGTGACTTTACCGAAAAAACTAAGAATATGAATTACTGCAGTCACGAAAGCTTTAAATCAAAATTTAGTGCACAAGTTGTTTACCAGGTGTTGTTAACCACATTCGCCCTGTGGAGTATCCTTCAGTCTCCATTTGCAATTAAGCCATTTACACTGTCCGTATGATGTCTGAAAGCCAGTGCACTTGATTTTCATATATCTTTAAGGTGTATCTTAGTAATTATCATGGGTCACCTTTCAGAGGGGGTGCAGGCTTCAGCAGGATAAATTACTAATAAAGGGCTCAGTAGCGGGCAACATGAGCAACAAAAGCAGATAGCTGACAGCTGACTAGAAGGTAGCAATGCAGCAGTGAGGGTCAGCCCACAATTACATTCAGTGATTCAATGGATCGAGAGGTGAAATCAGAGTGCTAAGTTGGCACCATCGAGATCCTGGGTTTAAATCCAGGCAACGGCCTCTGGTAACATGTGTGCTCAAGTGCAGTGAATTGATGGCTTCAGGACGATTACTAATGATGGCATATACATCTGTAACATACACCATTTGGTTCATCACTTAATTTTGGTGAAATTCTAGTTGTGAGAATGAGCAATTTGACTGTTACGAGATTAACATTATATTCCGTAGCAGTGTGGATTGAAAAGTGCTTCCCCCTAATGTGTGAACCAGAGTTCACTTGAATGAAGGGTCTCAGAGGTAGCTCAGTGATATTCACTTCTAGGGCCATTTCATGACATTAAGGGTTGCACTGGTCTACAAGAGATCCCATTGGATACTTCATCTCAAGATACGATTCTGATAGCCCAATCGGAATGAAACTGGAGGAAAAATTTAACAGAGTTCTGACAAAAACAGGCAGTAGTTGAACAAGTGACTGGATGATGCACTGATGCTGCTATTCATGGCCCCATGGTGCAAGGTTAAAATCCTGATGACATTTTTACAGCGACATTATTTACCATGCACAACATTTATCCAATCTTCAAATTTACATGTGTTCTCTGGTGGCGTATAATAAAATAAACATGCAAACCGTGATGGTGATGACACCTACCCAGATCAGTGAGGACGAGGGCCAGCTTGTCGTAACCTTTGTTGAGTAGTAATATGATTACGATGTTGAGGATGGAGGCCGTGATGGTGGTAACCATATCAGGTGTGAGTAGGGCACCGATCACCTTGATCTTGGTCACATGATTGGGGATACTCGAGGAGAGTATGCCAAAGATGGACAGGATAGGGTCAAGTAAAAATATATATGTATAACCCGTATATGAATCCACTGCTGGATGATGGCCTCCCCAAACCTGTGCAGATTGTCAGGGTTATTTTCCCATACTTCACCATGCACACCAGTACAGGTTGGTAAAGGATGGAAGCATAAGAATGCAGTTCTCTGTTGGCCACAAGGTAGCTCTGCAGCAGCCTACAGTCCATTTTGTGCATGATGGTTACCCATTCGTGCAGTACCCAGGCTCAAAACCTGCTTCACCTCCAAGATGAGGCACATAGCAGGTGACTTGGCCATAGCTCACTGGATCAGGAGAAGGGGTTCAATGTTGCTGTTGAGTTGGCGGACTCACCCAGAACAACACCATGATCCCGGAGAGGCAGTAACGGAACCTCAGTATCCTCTTAGGCATATGAGGCTCCTCCTCCTGCACTCACAATGCACGTACACAGACGGAAAAGCATTTGTATATAGATTAGTCTGTCGGAGTGACCAATGTTAGTGTGAGCCGTTAAGGTTGACTGATGAACTATTATTTGTTTTCCCCACTACTAGTTAAGCATGCGATGATATAAAGGAATGGATTTGATGGTCCTGATGTCTGAGAGTTGAGCTGGCAGCGCTGAGATTGCTTGGTTTTAATCCAGGCAGCTGCCTCCAATAAAACCAAGTAGTAAGCCGATCAGCCTGGTCACCAATATTACATTTGTTTCTTTTCTAAATTTGGACAAATTTCACCTTTCAGAATTAAAAAAGATGAGTTTGACCATCATGAACATTTCTTTGTAGCAGGGCTGATGGGAAAGGGCCACCCTCTAGTGTGTGTTCACTTAAAGGGATCTTATAAGTAATTACGTAACATCTGCTTCAGCAAACCTTTCTATAACATAGAGATCCAAATGGACATTGTTTCATAACGATGCCGATAGGACAATCGGGATAATATTGGAAGGAAAACACAATTGACCAAAGGCCAACAAATATGTTAAAAGAAAAACTAGGAAAACAGTGAACAGTTACACATGCAACAATACAAAACAGAGGTGTGTGTGTGCAATGAGGTAGTCGCCGTGGTGACAGCAGAAAGCATTACCATGGTGATGATGTTACATTTCGTGGTCGTGCAGCGAGCCAGGTACTCGGGCCGGATGGGGTCTCCCTCCTCCGCCGCTGCCGTCAGGTCCCAGCGGTATGCGAGCGATGCCTGGCGACGCTTCCAAAATTCCAGGAACACCGTGGCTGTTGCGACACACCACACGGGGAGGATTTACTTAGAAAAGTAATTTCACTATCGATTGCTCAAGGGTTCAAAGGTTACCTAATGTAGTCTGTTAAATGTAATGTTCAAAGTAACTTCATTAGTACTTTTTTTTTCTTTCATAAATACCTTTATTGGCTTTTTTTGGTACATTGCCACAATTTTATCCCACTTGCACTGAGTGGCATGGCATGAGATTGAGTTTTCCTTTGGATCTATAACAGAGCAGTGCTGCTCTTCGTGTTACAAAACGTTACACAAAAGTGAATGTCACAGAGCTACCTCTGTGATCTCTGGTCCACACTGTAGGGATAGCTCTTTCCAAAATGCTTTGCCACGGAGAGGAGCGTTTGTTACGTGATAGTCAAGCTAACATTTTTATTCTCAGAGCTGGAATGTAGCCTAATTAAGTACAGAACCAACTTTAACATTATGGATTTTTTGTATTTGTTGTGCAGATATCGGTGACTGAGTTGAGACCATCATCTTGCTATAATTGAGAAACTGGTTTAATCGCAGGTGGCCACTTTCATTCCAACACAGAATCTCAGCGGCGGCAACGCAGCACTCTGAACTCTGAGCCACCTGGCCACTTTGCATTTTTCATGGAATCGCCTTGGGGTACCGCATTCGTTGCTTGTTGCAGAGGTTCGTGGTTCAATGTATGTGGCTGCCCTGATTAATATTGCCCGTGTATTAATTACACAAAAATACACACCATCTGCTTCACAGTGGACATTAAAGATTATTGGTTATCATTCGTAAGAGTAGGACAATGTGTGCAAGTCATGGTCCAAATTTGCCCTCATTGAGCAGTGGGTTCATAATAGGACTGTCAGGATCACTGCATACGAACATTGCAAGACATGATGGTACTGTATATGGTTGTACGTATGTATGTTGAACTTCTTTAACACTGTATGTGGCCAAATGTGCTCATCATCATTGCAAACATGTTGATACTTGTCACTGTGTCTGGACAATGTGTGCCAATGCTTAGCATCACTTACCCCAAAGTCCCATGAAAACTGCGAAGAATATGGTGACCGGATTTTCATACATGTGTGAAGTCTGCAACGGCACAATCAGAGGTGTTAGTCACAATTAAACCTTAAATCTTAGCATCCACGTCTTTTCAATATCAACAGCAGGAAAGTAATGATGCATCGATTGATTTTTAAGTTAAAATAGATTAATCACTCATGAAACATCCATTGAATAATGGAGATGACAATGCTCTACAATGTCTGATATTATAGTGCTCTTCATGTATCAAACAAATCTGTATAAATGTGACAGAGAGAGCAAAATAAGCAATGGGCAGTTCCATGATTGTGGACATACATTTCAGACACTTTAAAGTGAATAATCATTATTTCGGCATGACATGTCAACTAATTAGCACTGAAATTCAGATTTCAAAATACGTTGTCCACTTGTATTGATCGTGGACAAATACTCATGAAATACATCGATTTACTCAGACAAAGTAACTTTTGCACTCCCGCTGGGATGTGACGATGCATTCATTTTCATGTATTTGTCTAACCATCGACTTAGTCCATAAAAATGACCTATTTACTAAAACTATAACTAACTACCTTCAAAATGATCACACGTGTATTATTAGTATAATATTTTTTTAACACCCACACGAATGGCAGCATAGTGTTTCGCATGATGTGCTGCAATCTAGTGATCATGGTTAATGTTAATGATACAATCTCAGCAACGTGAGTTCACTTTGTGATAATGATGCACAGCACCAATAACCAATAAGTATCCTTATTTAGAGGGAACATCGATGGTGTATTTGCGTGATACCTTCGCAGTCTCGCAGGTATCATTTAGCCTCCAAAAGGTGCATTTTTGGTCACACTGGGGACACATGACCAGGGATCCTCCGATGGTGTTGTTGCATATTTCGCCACTGCACACATAGACACGCACGAACATAAACACACTAATGGGCATAGTACACTTGGATGAGAAATATAATTTGCCTAAAGGTCATGCCACCTTTGAATGTCTTACCCTCCCTTTAAACAAAGTCAGACTAAATTATGGGTTCCAACGTCGAGCATTTTCCAAAGTAAAATGTATTTGCTGATGTTTAATTATCATTTTCGTTGATATCAGTGGTGTAACATCTCTATGTATTGATTTCCAGGGGTGTTTACAGCCCTTTTATCAATCCACTTCTGGCTGAGGGCCTCCCCACACCTCGTGGGTCATGAGGGCTATTTAATTCTAGTCATCCCACACTGGTCAGTACGGGTTGAATATGGGAAGCGAAGACTCCAGACAGAGTACAGCAATGTATTTCCTGCACTTGCTCCCCGCTGTCCGTCATGCAGCTCCACAGAGTCTATGTGTGTAAGTCGTATTATAAGGATACGTTTCACATTTAAACATTTTGGATTTGAATATTTTTTGATTTTCGGATTATTTACAATTCGTAAGAATGTACAATATATTCATGTGAACAAGAGTGACGAAACCCGATGCCACGTGATACGTGTCGTCGTGAGTGACGTCACAATGGGCGATGTCATGTTTTCTGAGCAATCCAAAACAATGTTTAATTTTCCCTGGATTGTCCGAAATATTGTAGCTAGGCTTGATTTTTTGGATTTACTTTTAGAAACAGAGACATTTGGAACATATATACATATACAATATATTGAATGTACTATATTTGTACTGTATATAAACTGTATGAGATTCTATATATGTGCATATGTACTTTAATAGTGAAATGTTAAAGATGTGGCTCTGATATTGCTTGCTCATACCACTGCTGGTGGAAGGTCCTCCACTAAAGAATGCTCTAGATTGCCCCTCGAGATGATATTTGGCCTACTCGTCCATGATGGCCAGACGTCTTGGACACGGCGGGAGTACCCACATTTTACCCCATCACATCTGAACTGCCAATCATCTAACTGCGGTGTCTCCGTTTATACTGCTGAGCATATGTGGGATAATTGAAGAAACCTAGCCATTATTTCAGCTTCCATGCCAGGCGATCGCACTGGAAATCTATAAACTGCAATTCTAGAAATGTAACTATTACACCATGGCAGCATCCCATGGGATTGTATATAAGTGTGTATGTATGTCTATATGTACTTGTGTATAGGTGCTTGCTGATACTCATTGTTCAGTCTGTATTGCCATACAGGAGATCTGTGTGAATTCTACATCTGACACATGAGTGTATGTGTGTGTTTGTATGCATTTGTCTGTATGCATGTGTCTGGCCAGTACCTAGTGATGTCACGGTCCTTGCTGAATACTCCAAAGAAAAAGGAGATCAGGCCGACGATTGCAGCGAAGATCAGCATCTTCGTGTAGAAGCCGAGCCATGCAAAATAGAGCCCCACTTGCTCCCCGAAGTATGACCTGTGCCGACAACATCACTCGCACACACAGCGCAAACATCACCAACCGCACATGGCACCAGTGGTGTAGCTATCGAATATGTAAGCAAGGACCATGGGCTGGAAGGAAATGTGAAGAGCAGGGAAGGCATGGGTAAATGCTATTCTGGAACTCCATTTCCCCAGCCGTCTGTGCTATCAACTCCCAGCTAGCATTCAAGTCCAGCCTTAGGACCTTCCTGGACAGGGCACGTCCCTAAGAGGTACGATGGCCTGTGGTCGAGACTAAGAATGATGTGGCAGTCAAGAGAAGGAATGCGTCTGAGAGGATGTGCACCACAGAGATTTAAGTAATAAAATCAGCATGTGTGCAGGAGCCACATGGATCGTTGCATCAGGAGACTGGGAGAGATGGTGAAGGCTTGGAGAAGTCTTCATCCAGCAGTGGATAGGGCATGAACTTACCGCACAAGGTCAAGAGGCTGCTCCTTGAAAGAGCGCCTGGCTCTCGCCCACTCCCGTCGCAGCGTGTTGCGGTCGCCCAGCGTGTTCGGGTTTTTGGTGGGATGAACAGACTCACTCTGACATGGGGAACGCAATTGTTAGTCACAAACACTGCATGGACATTCACAAATTGCCAGCTCCACCCCCCAAAACTCTGCCGTGGCGCTGCTGTGGTGTAATGGTGTTGCACACTGCACTGGACTTGCAAAGCTAGAGGTCGCCCATTTGATTTCATGGGAACGACAGTTTAAACAATGACCACGTTTCTTAATCACGCTGCTTCTGCCCAGCAAGCAGTGTAAATGGGTGCGCCCACAGTTAGTCTATTGGTTGGTCACGTTTTGTAGGATGAAGTGTGGGTAATTCTAATTCTTCCAAAGACTTCTGTCCCACGTGAAATAGTCGCCAAATACCCTTGAGAATGCTCTCTAGAGTGCTCGTGGAGTCCTTTCCAATGCATGTATTTTGAACTTCTTTTGCACCGTATGTAGCCGACCATGCAAATCAGAGTTGTGTTTAGTGAGCTGGGGAACCTGGAAACCTATGCGGCGCATCTCTGTGGGACACTAATGTTAAGTATGTGGTAAGCTTTAGACTATGCTATAGCGTCCTAAACAGGTGTGCAATTCAGGTATCGTACATGGGCCTCCCGTAGGGTGTCAGTGTGCCCTCCACCCCCTTCCCCCCCAACAACTTACGTCATGCAGTGGATAGGCTGCAGTATAGCAGCCATTTTCAATCATTTGGTTGATATTTAATATGTTCGTGCTGTCTTGTGGCATGGGGCTTTGCAGCATGTAGTGGACCTGTGAGAGCACACATGACACACATGACAAACATAACATGCATGAAACATAGGGCTGGGTGGGTAAGCTATTATTTACTCACTCCACTCTGAAATGTTTCCCCCTCTCCAACCACCACCAGCCTACACAGTTATAATGGGCCCACAACTCTTATTGAGTCCCGACTCGGAAGGGTCCATAGAACACCCCAAAAACTGAAGTAGATATGTACCGATTTCAGCAAGTACAATATCCAGATTTCAAGGAGAAATTTTCTGCATGCTTCCCATGCAAAAAGGCAATTTATTCAGAATACAAATACTATCAAAACCCCAAATGCCCATAATACTGGCTCGACAGGATACCTGCTCACCAGGAACCATATCAACAGTAGTCTTTCATTCTTTTGTTGTGCAGGGGAGAGTGATTGAGGGGGCGTGGTTATATAATGTGGGCAGGACTTACAAAGGGTGGGGCTGCTAGCTCACCATGTCTCCTGGTTAAGCATCCCAAAAATTTGGTAGCTTTCTCTACAGGGACACATTACCACAACCCCTAAACCATAAATCCAGGCATTCTTAATAAACCATAATGATTTACACTTCTAACCACATAACACTCAGAAATCGCAAGTTGCGATACAGAGCTAAAAACTTTAATTAAAATGATAAAAAAACACGACAAAACCCTATTAAATTAACATGTTTTTGCAAAAAAACCACCCCATTCTGGCATTATTTATACAGCATTATTGATACAAACGTACGATTTGGCTGCGTACAGCCGGTGGGATGAGGACGTCATGATCCTTTATAGGATAGATGTCATGCTGCGAACGCCGGTAGGGTGCCGTGAAATAGTCCGGTTGTTTGGGCACGGCTCCCGGGTTCAGGTGGTGAATATTTCCCAGGTAGTGAAGAGGCCCACTGTCTGAGCCTGACACCTGGGGGATGTCGCTCTCCTTGAGTGGCACCTGTTTGATTTTAAATGTATTAAACGCTTTGCCTCGAGCACATGGAATCATCATCAGCCAAAATCAGTCCACTAATGGATGAAGGTCTCCCAAAGTTGTTGCAATCTATACAAGTCCTATAATACAACAAGTCCTATACTACAACAAGCCCTATCATACAACATTCTATACAAGTCCTATAATACAAGTTCGATAATACAACAAGTCCTATAATACAACAAGTCCTATAATACAACAAGTCCTATAATACAAGTCCTATAATACAAGTCCTATAATACAAGTCCTATAATACAAGTCCTATAATACAAAAAGTCCTATAATACAACAAGTCCTTTAATACAACATTCTATACAAGTCCTATAATACAAGTCCTATAATACAAGTCCTATAATACAACAAGTCCTATAATACAACAAGTCCTATAATACAACAAGTCCTATAATACAACAAGTCCTATAATACAACAAGTCCTATAATACAACGTTCTATACAAGTCCTATAATACAAGTCCTATAATACAACAAGTCCAATAATACAAGTCCTATAATACAACAAGTCCTATAATACAACAAGTCCTATAATACAACAAGTCCTATAATACAACAATTAATATGCCAAAAGCCTCCACTGCATACCCCACCCACTCTTCAAGTTGTCCCACCAATATCCCCAGTCATGAGCACACGCACATGAGCCAATCTTATCTCGCCATCTCTATGATATACATCATCTTGGGCACGTTCTCTCCTTCGGCTGCCACTCCAATGTCATTTTCGGCCAGCAGACATCATCCCTTCAAGCAACGTGCCCTTCCCGTGCCCATTCACTTTTATAAAAAGAGTCACTATAATTTTGCTAATATGCATATGTTTTCAAATGTGCGTTTCTCTAATCCGTTTGTATATTTACGTCTCTCGATATCTCATGTCAGTGCTTCAATTATTATCTTTGAACGTCATAAATTATAATCATCACAATCATCACCCTCACCATCATAATCTGTATCACATGCATGATCATCGCAAATATCATCACAACCATCATGAATCCTCACAAACATTATTATCATCACATTCATTATCACCATCATAATCACAGTCATCACCACAATCATCATCACAATCATCAGCATCATCATCATTACAATGATCATCAAAATCTTGCCTGGATGTGGAGAATCTCGGCATAGGTGGTGAGTGGGTTCCATGGCGCGTGTACTTTCACAAAGGTGGTGCGTCCACTCACCGACTCCTAGTGGATGGCACGAAGTTCATCGTCAGACTCTATATGAGTGCGTTTAGTTGTATTTGTAGTGGGTTCCACGGAGACTGGAGACGTTGTCTTTAGCGGCAATACGATTTATTTGTAACTCTAAACAAGACTCCCCTTAACTCCCACTATCTATGGAGGTACAGCCTCCGGGCTAGCGTACCCTCACATTTAGTCAACCTGGCTCTGAGCCCTCCGGCTATCTGTGCCCTAGGGGAGGCTAACTGACCCGACCCAGCCAAGGTACGGGTCCCGACTACTGGTCCGCGCTCGGCCCCGGCCCTTACAAGGACGTCGGGGCCCAGGGTCCCAGGGGCACCTCGAGCTGTGCTTGAGGTGCCCCTTTTATACACTTCCTGGGGACTCTCCGCCCCTGGGACCGCCCCCTTTCTGGAACCTTCCAGGTGGCTCTGGAAGAACCCCCCAACCCCTCACCTGGGGTCGGGGGGGGAGAACCCGGCCCCTCAATGGTCCGGCTCTTTCCGACCATCCCCAGCTCAGGGTGGCACCCCCTATGGGCCCGTGCCCGCAACTGCAGGTAAGTATTATACCGACGGTATAAGGTGTGCATTTCCGACGCTACATATTTATTAGACGTTGTTTGACCAGGTGAGAGCTCAAGGGAACAGGATGGTCTCATTTGCAAGAGTGTCCACGGTCGCGGGGATTTTCGTGCCTGTGTCACGTGTTGTTGGGACCTCGTGCCGATCAACGTGTGGTACAACCGAAAAGCAAATGGCATAATGTACGTGCAGTTAGAGAACACTTATTACTACAGTATAAATAGCTGGCATGCCACATTAAGGTGGAGACGGTTTATACCCTCCAGTATAAATGGGTAAGTCACAATTAATCCATCTTAAGATTGTGAATGGTGGGGTTAAGTATGGGTATTCGCTATCTCTTTCAAGACGTCTGGCAAACATAGAAGAGTAGGCTATATACCCTCCAGCGGGGATCTTTAGCGCTCCTACTCAAGGAATGTATGCCAGCAGTGATATTATGAAGCAATCACAGTCTTACACCTTTTTATTTGTATACAGTGTCTGTCATCTATAGCAGAGAGACACGCAGGACACTTACCTCCTTGGGTTCAATCTCGAGATCTAGCCCCATCTTCATCAGGCTTGCCTGATATTCGGTCCTCTTCTTCTGTCAAACAAAATTTACCATCTATGTTATACATTGTTCTCAGTTGTGTCACTG